ACGAAAACTCTTCGTGTTTCCGGACAAAGAGGGGCAGCTGTGAGCACGAGATTTTTGCCCTACAAGAACTACTCCCACAAATTTTCAAAATAAAATAGTTGTGTGTTGCTTGTGATTTGTCTGTGCATGTTTATTCTATTTATACTACTGAAACATACAAAAATATATGTGTTGCATTTGCATTTACAATTTAGGATTAATTAACCAGTGATTTGTTTTACGAAAATAAAAATCATAAAAAATAATGTACTTTGCATTTTTAGCATTTAATGTGGAATTGTGTGATTTATTGTTAATTGGCATTTAATTATATGTGATAATGTTATTAGAAGATTTCCCTAAAAATAATCCCATACTCATTTCCCTTCGAAACTGGTCGAATTTCAAATCAGAGTTAAATCGTGCGTTTGACAAACCCTAAAAGAACCGAGCCAGGGGATCGATACAGTAGAAAACTGAGGTCGTAATCGACCTTAGTCGTGTGATCTCAGTCGAGAACACTCGATTAAGGTCCGTTTCGGCTTCAAACCTCAAGTCGAAGTTTCGATTGGAACGGATTGGATTTTAGCCTGTGGTTTCTGAGGTATTTCTCCTCTTTTCCGTTTTCCTTTTTGATTGTTGTTTGTGTTTGCCTAATTTCATTGTTGTGATTGTCAATTACTTCTTCCCCCTCTTTCGAACCTTTTTCCGGTCCAAATTTTCATCACTGTATTAATTAGATTTTCTAGTTAATTGGATTTGTCTGAAATCGCTCGAACCCCTGTCTTTTTGTTTTCCCTCTGGATTAGTTTCTTCTTTACATTGTTGAGTATCTCGGTTTAGGCAAGTTCAGTGAGTGATTGTATAAAACTGTGATCGTTTGATATTACTGTTGGTTCAAATTGTCTTATTATGTTATGTTTGATTCTTTCCTCTCCGTTGCCAATCAGTTTTGCTGCATATGAATTTGTGATATTGCAATATTTCATTCATTTTGCCTAAGTTTGATTTAGAATTCTGAATGCAGTCAGTTAATCCCATGTACATGTGCATCTTAGCAGCTTTGCATCAGTATGCTATTTGATCTAATCTGAGTTCTAAGTTCGAACTGTTAGGTGAATTGAATTAAATTGGTTATAGCTGTTGTAGTTTGCTGATTAATTAGGAATCAATTTAGTTATCTGATTAATGATTGGTTATAGCTGATGAGGTAAAAGGGATTGGGTAGGACAGTAATTTTAGAGACTTTAGGAGGGTATTTTGGGATTTAAAAAGTTTGAAAATGGTTTAAGTTGAATGGTCTGACAGTAGGGTACTAAAACTCACACACAGAGTGAGGGAAGACAATCTGAAAAGAGAGAGTTAAAGGAGAGGAAAAGAGTTTAAGAGCTGGGGAGAGGGAAACGAGATACAGATACAACTACTGTTTCATGGCATTTTGAGTTAACTTTTAGTTTTCTTTTCAATTCTTGAAATACTTTGTCGAGTAGGTTGAAACTAGAAAATGGATTACGCTTGATACTGTTGTGTGATTAGAGGGGTTTTGAGTTTTTTGGGTATTTGCTGTGATTGTTGTTTCACACTTCATTCCTACTGTGTTCAAGTGTGTTCTGGGCTAAACTGGTTGTGTTCGTGGCTGTTCGAACTCCAAATCTGTTGTTATACCTGTTGTTTGCTACTATTGACTGCTCCTTCTTCATTGTTGTAAATCCCAGGTACACATTCTCGAGATCGATTTGATGTAGCTTTTGAATTGGATTGCTGAAATAAAAGGCTCACCTATTCACCTCTTGAAGTGCGCGCGTTTAAGTTGTTGTACTAGAATAGATACTAGATGATTAGTAATTGTTTAGGTTTACTTCTGATTTGTGTTGTATAATTGGACTGACCGAACCATTAATTTGTAATGAACCGTACTGGAATGATGAATTATTAAGCGTGGGTATACTCATATTGAACCGTTAGCTGTGTATGTTTGTGTACTTAGAAATGCATATGAGTTTTTTAGTTAAGTACTAATTAAAGTGAATAGTTCCTATTAGTTTTAGTTAATTTCTTGTGTTTCATAAATCTGTCTAAAAAATGTTTCAAGCTGTGATTAAGTAGGGATGTGCTGAACTGCTTAGAACTGATTTGAATTCTAGTAGGGTGAGGTCTCAACATGACAATTAGTTGTTTGCCTTTTGAACATTCGGATTGCATAAGTGTCATCTCGGACAATTTTGGGCATCAGTTAGCAGAACATAAGCGTTAACCAGATAATTCAAAAATGGTTGTAGCATATTGATTAAATTCAATTTTGATTCTATCATCAATATTACATCTTGCTTCAATTCAACCTTTGATTCTGGGCTCAAAAGTGAGACTCAGACAACTTTGGTTCAGCTGCACAACTAAACTTGAATAATGTCTCTTGGGCCTGGTTTCCGCAACAACAAAGCTCAAACTGTCCAATTCTTCATGTTTTGAACAACTCGCTAAGCATGCTTCAACTTTACTTCGTAAGTTACTGGGCTTGAATTGATTTGAAAGTGAATCATAATGATTTGGCCTTTTATCAATGTTAATCAATTAGGACTTTTTTTTTATTAGAGACAAAAATAGAAAATCATAGTCACTTTAGGATTGCCTTTTAAATAATAAAATGAGACGAGCCTCGCCCAAATAAAAATGTAACTTTGCGGGGCCCTCAATAAATGGTTAAAATAAAACATTTAGAATTCGGGACGGGCTATTTAGTGAATTTTACCCCTTCTCCAAAATAATAACGCGTTAGTCTCTTTAGGCGCATATTTTAATAACATTACCTCCCTAAACTCGGGTGCACATTTATATGACCAAAATTCAAATCTTAACGGAGTCGAGATGTGTCAACAACCATGGGTGTATTGATGTGACGTGGTTCGAGACGCGTTTTTACGACGTTGTAATTCTCTATAATAAAAAGCGGTAAACAATTAAAATTTGCACATAGGTTCAACATGTATTGAAATCAGATAAATAAGCCGAATATGACAGTTGAGCGACCGTGATAGAACCACGGAACTCGGGAATGCCTAACACCTTCTCCCGAGTTAACAGAATTTCTTATCCGGATTTCTGGTTTGCGGACTGTAATACAGAGTCAATCTTTTCCTCGATTCAGGATTCAACCGGTGACTTGGGACACCATAAATCTCCCAAGTGGCGACTCTTAATCTTTAAATAAAATTCCGTTTAGATTGTCCTTTAATTGGAAAAACTCCTCCCCCTGCGCCCCTGCGGGCGCGGGTAAAAAGGAGGTGTGATACTAGACAGACTAGAACTGCTTTTAAACATAGTACTAGTAGAGCTACTGCTCCTTTTCAACTACTTCATTTAGATGTGTGGGGCCTTACAAGTTTGACACATATTATGTCATGAAATATTTTCTTATTGTGGTAGATGTCTATTTCAGGTGGACATGGATTTTTTTTGATGCGTGTCAAATATGATATTTCTGGTGTGTTTAAGGCTTTTATTGCTATGATTCTCGACCAATTTGAATGCAAAATTAAGGTTGTTAAGACTAATAATGGCTTAGAGTTCTGTAACTCAAATTGTGGTGAATTGTTTAGCCAGCACGGTATAATACATCAAAGCTCTTATCCATACACACCCCAACAAAATGGGGTGGTGGAGAGGAGACATAGACATATTCTTGAAACTGCAAGAGCAATAAAGTTTCAAAGACACCTACCTAGCAGATTTAGGGGTTGTTGTGTAGAGGTTGCAGTGTATATCATTAATAGAGTACCTTCCACTGTTCTGGGGAATAAGTCACTATTTGAGTTATTATATCAGAAGGTACCAACTCTGTCACACATGAGGATCATAGGATGCTTATGTTATGCTTCTAAACTTCCTAGGCAAGACAAGTTCAGTCATACATAAGGGTTGTCCTATTATGTTATGGTACATTTCAGAAATGATACAAATTATTTGATATTGATAACAGGACAATGTTTCTCAATAGAGATGTTCAATTTCATGAAAACATATTTCCTTTTCATGACAGCTTTGCAAGACAAGACTCTTGGTCTATCACCACATGATCAGCTCCCCTCCCGGTGAAAGATGAGATCTTCTGAGCTATTTTGCCACATGCAACAGTCATACCACTTGTACCTTCTTTGATTCCTTCTACATTATCATCACCTACTTCACCTGTTTCTACAAACTCACCAGATGATCAACCTATGATGTCCACACAGGCACAAGCTCCACCCTTAGCAGGTGAATTTTCAACAGTTGAATCATCAGTCGTTAGGAAGTCTGCTCGAACTTCCAAACCACCTATTTGACTCAAGGACTTTGTTGTTCCTGATAATAAGCATGCAACAACAACTTGCTTATATCCGTTGTCAGATGTGGTGAGTTATTCTTCACTCTCCTCCAGTTATAAGAGCTTCATTACCAGATTTTTCTACTGGAGTAGAACCTACCAGCTATGCTCAAGCAATAAAAGATCCAATATGGATTGAAGCTATACAGACTGAGATTAAAGCTTTGGAGGATAATCAAACCTGGAATGTGGTTACTTTACCTCCTGGAAAAAGAGCCATTGGGTGCAAGTGGGTCTACAAGATTGAATATAAAGTTTCAGGAGAGGTGGAACGATTCAAAACAAGGTTAGTTGCCAAAGGGTATAGTCAGCAAGAGGGTCTAGATTACAATGAGACCTTCTCTCCAGTTGTTAAGATGGTTACTGTCAGAGCAGTCATCTCTATCGCAACAGCTAAGCATTGGGACATTCATCAAATAGATGTCTATAATGCCCTTTTAAAAGGAGATTTAGATGAAGAATTTATATAAGCTTGCCTCAAGGATTCAGTCATCCACAGGGTAAGTCTCAGGTGTGCAGGCTACTCAAGTCCTTGTACGGACTCAAGCAAGCCTCAAGATAATGGAACATCAAGCTTACCCATGTTGTTTTATCCTATAGGTTCACTCAGAGTCACCTAGACTATTCCTTATTCACTAAGAGGTCTGCTGGCAATATTATGGTGGTGTTAGTCTATGTGGATGGCCTATTAATCATTGGTGATGACCCCCTTCTGATTCAAGAAACTAAGGCCAACTTGCAGCAAAGTTTCAAGATCACGGATTTAGGTGCCTTGAAGTATTTTTTAGGAATAAAGTTTGCAAGAGGCAACGATGGAATACTTATGCATCAAAGAAAATATGCACTCGAGCTCATCTCAGACTTGGGATTATCTAGAGCAAAGCCTATAGGTGCTCCTTTTAAGCTCAACCAAAGGCTCACCACTATTGAGTTTGACTTCCATTTTGGAGCTCATGATGATCCTCCCCTTGATGATCCTGGCCCGTATCAGAGATTGCTTGGGAGACTATTGTATTTGACCATTACAATGCTGGATATTGAATTTGATGTGCAATGCCTCAGCCAATTCATGCATTCGCCTAAGTACTCCCATTTGGAAGCTGCACTACGTCTGGTGAGATACGTTAAGCAGGCACCAGGGCAAAGGATCCTTATGTCATCAACCTTTGAATTTCATCTACATGCCTATTGTGATGCTGATTGGGTAGTTTTCCCTAACACCAGGCATTCTATCACCGACTACTGTAAAGTTTGGAAATTCATTAGTGTCCTGGAAATCCAAAAAATAGTCCACTATTTCCAAAGCTTTATTGCAGTTGAGTTTAGGAGTTTGGCCTCTACTGTCACAGAAATTGTGTGGTTGGTTTGGCTGTTTAAGGAGCTTGTTGTAGACATTCAGGTGCCAGTTT